CCGGGAACCCTTGAGGATACCCTAATGTTTTTTTCTTCATTCTGCTATAATTATAATACAGTAATGAATACACACGTGTGTGTTTTAAAGGAATCCATATCACGTGTCTTTAATAGAACACAGATGTTAATGCTGGCAACTCTTATTGTTCAACATGTTCTCCCATTGTCGCTTGTTGTTTCTTACACTATTTCTGATCTGGTAAACAGCAGAGGGGAAGGACTTGTCTGTCATAGTCGTTGACCACCACAAACCTCCATGGGGTCACAGTACTAATCCACTGAGCAAGCCACGCTGCATGCATTTGGTGATTACATTGACTCATGAGTGAATAAGTGAATAACAGGGAGCACTACTGCTTCTCCATATTTCACTATACAGCCCTGATTTTGCCATGTCTGGCAAGGCTGGCACACAACCAGTGCTGATCTTCAGCTCAGATATTCAGTAAGATAGTTCTATAAACACAATGACATTATGGCATGATATAATTACTTTCCTGTAGGTTTGAATCAGCTTGCTTGCTTTTACAGGAAATCACTTATATACACTGCTCCTCCAACTTAATTGACACCAGGGAAGTGCCACACACACTACTTTACACATTTAGCTCTCAAGTGCATAAGCAACATTCCCATAATCCATTAGGTACCCACCCAGCACAGACTTTGTCATCATACAAGGCAGCTAAATACACAGAAAACTCCAGTTTAGAGTATAAAAGCTTGAAAAATTAACCATACTAATTTTGGAGGAAGGGTGAAGCAAAAATTACAGTACCTTGTGCTAGGGCTTAGATGCTATAGTAACACAATACTGGTGCCGAGAAAAAAGTTTTACTGTCTCCGTCTCCCACCTCACCAGATCCTTCTTAACATCACCCATGATGTCATTGCACCCTGGACTTTGAGCATTGACTGGAAAGGCTTTGCAGAAGAAAGAATAACATTGGAACCTGGAAGTGCATCGTATGAGATAAGCTGGATAATGTGAAATAATGTACAAAACTAAACAGGGCAGAAGGAAATCAGAAGAGACATTCAGCATTATTTATGGACTACAGGATGGCACACAAAGTCACACACCTCAGATCAGCATCTCTCTTGAGGGCCTCAGTGAAACAAAAGAGTGGAAAGCATTGTATTTTGGGGATAGATCAGGTTTCACCTAAAATTCCTCCCTTCAGATCAATTTATATCCAACTCTGTTTTACTGCTCCACCAGCAATAAGTACAGAAAATATTCCTATATTTACAATAAGTATTGAAAACCTCATTATTTCTTGGAAAGGAGGGACAGAGGTTAAAGGGGAAAGTGTCTTAATTTACAACTATGTGTTTTCAAATAGAGGCTAATGTATGCATACCAGCACTCACTGTTACACATCAGTGCCAAAATACTGATTAACTGCAAAGTGATCTTTGCAATAACACTACACACAGAGCAGAGCCCTTAAAATCAGGAGCGAAAATTATACACTTTGGGCCACCAGTGCTGTAAGTTGGAAATAACTTCATGACTCTCCCTTCACTCCTACCAAAGATGGCTTTGCTGAGTTCCTAATTCAGGATTTAAACTCCTGCTTGACTCTGAACAGGCATCTTCATACACCAAGTACTAGACACATATGTAAACCTTGCCATCTCAAGGCTTTTGTGTCACAGCATCTGGGAATACATTTACAGGATTTTAATTCAAAGGGTTGAGTTATGCATATGAACTAACACCCTGCATCTGATCACGGAGTGACTAAGACACTGCAGTGCTACAGTCCCATCCCAAAACCTGCAGACATCTATACCAGAGCTGTCAACAGTTCATGCACATTTTAAAAGCATCAAAGTGTTTTTCCCCATTTTTCCAAAAGAGCCCTTAAAACACATAAACAGATACGTAGGACACAGACATTTTTCTCTGCATGATTTCAGTAAAAACATGCTTTTCTTGTTAAACTCTGGTGCTATCCTTTGATTACAAGCATCTTCTTTCCCAGGAAATCTATCACTAAGCATGTGTGAATACTCATCTCAGGGGTCTGCCCTTGTGGTGGCTGTGGCCACCCCCAGACCTTCTCATCACGTATGTGTGTGATTTGCCTCATAGTCGCAGATATAATATGTTCTCCCTTCCTTCGGCTTCCCTACCCATCTGGGGGCTTGCTCAGTATGCTGGTTGGCCACCTTATTAGCAACAGAAATGGGATTCAGGTCTCAACATGACTCTGGTGGAAGCTGGAAGTATCCCCATTGACTGCAGTGGAGTTCAGCCTGCTTCTACCGCTTCAGCAAGGGCTTCCTTGCTCCATTACTGGGTGGTTGTGAAGCCTGCTTGCTTTAGTCCTGTGGACTACTGAGATCTTTTGATTCCACATAACTTCAGCACAGACTAAGGGCACTCCATTGTCACTAGATAAACCCATTACAAAAGATAGCTAAGCGTATGAGCTGCTCTCTCTCATTGGTTGCTCCATAAGGTTCCATAAGTTTCATGTAGGTGGAACTCTGGTGGGGTTTCAGTGGCAGAAGCAGAGGGCTGCCAAAGCGTGTGTGTTTCCCCAGCGCTGCAGCTTTCCCCTCGAGGCTGCTGGGCAGTCAGAGGCTGGATCTGTGTCTCACCCCAAGCCCCAGGCACTATGGCCAGCCAAAGTAGCTTGTGACTCCAGCATGCTCTGGCACCAACTGATTAGCCCTTCGTGGGATGAGGCCAAGCCTTGCCAAGAAAGCTGAGCTCATGTTTCCAAGAAGCAAAGAGAAAGGGAGAGTTTTGAGCAGAGCGTTGTCATTGCCGGTGGTTTCTTCCAGGCTAGCTGTAAACTTGGGTTGTTTATTTGATCCCGAACTTTCTTTGCATGTACACAGGAAAACAGATGCTTCCCACTCCCGGGCCCCATGCTCGAGCCAGGCTCTCTCAGCAAAACCCACAGGTAGGGCACACAGCAGAGACATCGCTTCCTGCCTCTGCATGCTTTGAGCTGGTGATAGAACATTATCTACCCCACACACTTCTCTGGCCTCCCTGCCAGGGTATCAGGGCGGCTCGCAGCACGCAGCTCGCTTTTCCTGTGCGGTGGGAACAGCTGCTGCCCCCGCTCACAAACAGGGAACAGAGGCCAGGCCTTGCAAGTGTTTTGGCTCAAACAGTGTGCACGGGGCACGGATGAGAGAGTTGGGGAGCAAGCCAGGTCTCCCAGAGCCTGAGCAGGTGGGTGCCCTAACTACTAGGTCGCCTTTCACCTTCCAGCATTAAAGGCCTGGCACGGTCCATCCACAGCCCTGCCTGTGGTAAGCCTCAGGTGCAGTCCTCCACTGGATTCATTTATGCCAGCAGCAAATTAAGTTTCAGGCTCTTACAACAAATTAGAGAGGCAAAGGGGAAACAGAGCACAAACTTCTGTGCCTGGACATATGCCCAACCGTAGGGGCTTCAGGATGGCCAGCTCTCACAGTCTCTTGCCTCTTCTTCTGAAACAGCGGGTGCTGGTCCCCGCCTGTGCCAGGACTGTGATTTACTCCAGCTGTCTGCCCTTCTGTGGTCCGAAGAGGATCCTTCAGCTTTCTGCCCGAAGAAGGTCCTCACAAGTGACACAGGTTGTCTGAGAACATGATGCACTCACTGTTCCCCTCTCTTGTGACATTTCTTTACATAAGCAGCTGAATAGCAAAACATAACAGCATTCATTACTAATTTTGTTATTTATAGTAAGCTGCCACAGATGAAGACTGCAGCACCATTCTATCTTCAGGGCGTAGTGTCTGCCTGTCCACACAGACAATTGGTAATTAGCACAAGGACAATTTGTTTATCTATTCTCAAACTTAAATAAATAGGAAAGCCATTTATTCTGTCAAAATTCAACACCCTCCCATTGCCAGATCTCCAGGTTAACTGCTTAATGAATAGAGCTCATCGCTTCAGGGATTTAGGTAAAGACAAAAGTGTCTCTTAAAAGAATTCCCACTAAAGAAAATCAAATAGGCAATAAAAAATAACAGGTTATATGGAATGAAGGGTTAGCATTTAGATCACAAGAATCAGGAGCACAGGACAGGATGAAGATCACTGGGATGTCAAGCAGAGGCGTAGAAATGGACAACCGGTATGTCGGGGAGGTGTGGTGTGTAGATCCTGATTACTCCTGGCACATGCACTTCCTACCTGTCCAGACACCCACCTGTCAGCCGACTGCTCCAAGTGAATCCTCGCATGAGCATGAAACTGGAGAATAGAAGGCAGAGAGGACACTCACAGTTCTCCAAGTAAAATCCCACATGTGCACTAAGATGCATTTGCATGGCTGGGATGGCAGGACCCTGCCCAATGTAAACACCACACAAGCCAGGGAGAAGACATGACATAATTTTTTCTATTTTTATTGCTGATTCCAACCCTTCTTTGTTTTCTTTTATTCCCTATACCCACCCCTGAAGTTAGAGAAGAGACTTTATGAATAGATGGGCTTTGTGAGTCGCACCCAAGCGTTGGCCCCTGTTCACTCTCTCCTTGCTCCCACCACTGCTGACAGGAAGGGAATGGGAGCTGCTGGATTGCTCACGCTCACCTTAAAGGCAAAAGCAGTCTGTGTGGAAAGAAACAAACAACCCTTGTCCTTCTCACAATTCAGATGTTTTTAGCATCTGAAAGTGTTCACTTACTCAAGCTTGCAGGTGCAGCTTTTTTGCATGCGTATGAGTGTACACACATCCATACCTACAGGATGGGAAAAGCAATGGAAAAAATACAGTGTCAGAGGTTATTGCTGTCAGGCAGCAAAAGTGGGTCAGATCTGAGGAATTCTGCCTGGCCTCCATTTCCAATTGTATGGGTTCCAGTGAAGAGCTATTTTCTTCTTGTCCTACCACCTGTACAGTCTTTATTTGATCTTTTTATCCTATCATCAGCATCCAGCAAGGGGATAAAAACTACTAAATAAAAGCAAACTATTTCAAACACAATGGCTGGAAAGAAAGAACTAACGAGGAGCTCCTTCTTTTGTCTTTCAGCTCACAACTCCGAATTTCCCTGTAGTGGTCAAGCTGGGACATGCTCATGCTGGAATGGGGAAGGTAAGTAAAAGAAAAAATGCGTACAGCTCAGGAAATCAATATATACGTGGCACAGCAGTCTTGTGATTGTACACTTCATGTGACCAGCCAGCGAAGGGGTTAAACCTCCCCATAGCCTATCTGGGTTGCACTGGCTGTTCCTGTGGGAGAAAGGGCCTTTTTCCGCTGTCACGCACTCGGAGACAGGCAGTGGTATTGGGTTGGAGGCTGTCTGGGATGCGGGAAGGGGGGTTGCGAAGAACGGGGAAAAGCTGGCTAGGCTGAAGTCATTAAGCTCATCTTTTATATATTTTCTCCTCTCCTGAAAGTGGTAATGTTGTTTATTCAAGCACCTGTAATGTGCAGCTACACCCTGTAGCTCTCACAATGAGGAGCAGTGGTGCTGGTCTTTTTGAGTGCATTATGATGACCTTATTCAATAAAACAGGAGCCCTTCAGTTATTTTTTTCCTCCTTGCAAGGAAGAACAAGACCTTACAAAGCAGAGTGGCTGGTTGCCTGCCAAGGAATCCTGAAAAACAGTTCACTCCCCAGAAGGACCTGTTTGTTTTTCCCAGGCTCTCTGGGATCTTTATTCCCCCAGTGAATTAGCAGCCCCCGTTTCTTGGGGTGACTGTTGCACATACATTTTTAAAAACATCCTCTATCTGTCTAAACTTTATTTGTTCAGAAGTAGGAAATTCTGATGCATCATCCCTGAATCCAAATAAATGCATGGTACATGAACTTTGTAACCGATATCCCTGTCACAGTGCTTGCCTAGAGCAGACAGACCTTCTCCCAGTCTCAAACTTTGCCTGAAAATTATATATAGGTATGCCAAACTTAAACTTGGTACAGCTTGTTTGCTTGCGCTCTGCAAACAGAACCCCCTTCTGGCTTCTTGGACTGCACATGGAAGATCTCATAATCTTTCTTGCTTTGGTTCCAGTGTTCCCCTGTGTGGATGGTAGCTGCGGGAGAGGAAGTGGGCTCAGATCCCTGGGCCAGCGGTGGAGTTGCCTTTCAGCATCAAAGAACAAACATTGAAATAAGCAGGAAATGTTTGTTAAAATAGTGGTGCTGCGAACGTTAAACAGGCAGAGGTGTCATTGAATTAAGAGTACATGCGGACAGCCTAGAGCTGCTTGTAGAGTGAGCCACTGAACGTGTCCCTAGGAAGGATTTCATTAGCAAAATACAACCAGGACAAACCAGGAGGAAGAAACCTCTACCTGAGGAAAGGTTTCAAGTTCCCTGAGACACTGCAATCCTGGATCTCTCTGAGTGCTCTGCAGTTTCACCTGTAATGTAGGGAAGTCTTCACGTGTCTCTCTTGTGCACAAAGCACCTTCGGTGGCTACAGAAATGAGGGCAGAATCAGAGAAAAGCACCCCAACCTTAACTGTGTTTTCAAACAAAACTCTCAGCAGAATATTTAGCTATTGTCTTCTGCACCAGACACCAAATCTTTTTTCCCCTCTCACTTGCCCTCCCATTTCATTCTTGAATGATGTTGATTTTTGCTGTCACAAGTTTTAGGGGAAGAGAGTTTCTATTCAAACTCCAGGCACAATTGTACGCAGTGGTACAAGCAGGGTACGTAGGAAATCATTCCAGATGAAGATAGGCTGACAGCCAGCATCTTAGAAGAAAGAATTGGTCTGAGGCCAAGTTTACTGTAGTCCATTATGGACTACTAGCAAAGTCTGGATGTGGATTTGGGCACAGAGTTTCAACACTGCTCTGTTCAGTAGATGGGGAAGGTACAGGAAGGAAGGGTTGTTGACCTTACAGTTTTAGTTTGGGCCCTTCTCCGGCCACAAGCAGCCTAAAGGAAAGTTGAGACTGATTAAATTGGTCTTCTTGAAGTCTCACTGCATTTCATTGCATAGAGCAAAGAGAAAAGAAAGTTAAAATAAAATACAGAACAAGTCTATTTGTTTAAAAGACATATAACAGGAATTTGTTTCATGTTGTTTTTCAGACAATAGAGTTCAAGCCCAAGTGGGACTGACAGAAAGAAACAACAGAAAATGTCAGGAGCAATACAGATAAGCGGAACTATGCATATACTAGAGAAATAACACCTATAGGAAAAAAAAAATCAGATCTCCAACTAAGTAATTCACAGGAGGAAATCTTCCAGGAGACATAGTGGTGGGTTTAACCACCATAATGTAAAAGCAGTAACTGGTGATGACAAGAAGATCACAAAGAGCTAAAGGATTTCTTTGCATAGGTCTTCAGAAGTAGAGATGATAGCAGGAAATAGCAGGTCTTTAGCTGTAAAATATATATAGTATGAAAAGAGAGAGGTTTGCTTTTGGTTTAGATAAATGTAAGAAAGTAAATGTTAATAAAGCACCTGCACTGGGTTATGTTTTGTATAAAAGCAGTGACCGAAGAAACAAAGGATAAAATAACCAACCTATTAGCCAAAGTACATATGTGAGCATCAAAAATAGTACTTACTGCAACAAACAATGCGAAGATAGCGAGCCATGCATTTGTACCTGTAATGGGTGCTTCAAAGGATGTGAGCATTCAGATTACAATCTCATTACCAGCAGAAATTGTCTAGGAAGTACTTACATTTTTTTTGTTATTAATGATAAAATCACATGTAATGGGAGGCACCAGAACTTGGAAAAATGAGCAAAGATAGGAAGTCCAGACACTGTTATTCTTTATTTGTACTGAGGCAGTGGCCATGAGCCAGAAAAACTCTGGACACAGAAAAGGCCTCTTCATGAAAGAACTCCACCATTGACTTGCAGGGAGATTTATGTCATTTCACAGTTCTTCTTCCGTTTCTCTGTGTTACAGACCAGAGGGATTATAATGATTACCTGATAGTTATTGCTAATTCATGTTCATAAGGCTCTTGGCACCATAAGAAGTGCTGAGTGGTTATTATTTTGCAACAATGGCTAGAAAGAGCATAATTAAACTAGTCAGACTTTCATTTTCACATATCTTTTTTTTCAAATTTTCACAAAATTCACTCACGACATTTTTTAATCAGAGGGTTGAACAGAAAATCCTCAAAGCTAAAATGAAAAATGACTGTGTTAGGACTTGTAAGAAGCAGGCTCCATTGACTGTCTTTGGCTTGGAAGAGGAACAGTTAGTATTCAAGGTCAGAACCAAAAGGGGTGGCAGGACACCACTAGTGATAGAAATGCTCTTGCCAAGTGGTACGTGCATGTAAGGTGCAGGCGGAGATGAAGAAAACAAATTTGCAATAAAAGGCATCTTTTCAAATTTCCATTGAGAAATCCAGAAACAAAAGCCTCTCTATTGACTTGAACAGAGACACCAGGAATAGCCTTCACTCAGAAAGACGAAGGGGCTCCAGAAAATTTCCTCATCTAAAACCAGGACACATGCCCCTCAGCCCCTCCCATGACCATCATTATTCCCTTTCCAAAACTTGGAGTCACTTCATATTTTGCTGGCACTGGAAGATCATAACAAGTGCTCTGTGTGCTGCTGGTCCAATACAGTATCAAAACAAATACAATATCTGTAGAGATATCGCTTAGACAATGGTTTACAATGGAGTCAGGAGAGAAGGAGCTTTCTTGTGCTGTATTTAAGTTGCCCAGGCTCATTGGGGTCAACAGTACTCAAGGACTCTTCCAGGGAAACCATGAATGGACACTGAGAGATGTCCTTCCCTGTGCAGAACTGTTGTTCACCCAGCAGTTCTTAGGAGGTCAAGGCATTTTTAAGTGTTGTGCAGTTTGAACCTACCTACCCCAGAAGAGACTGGGCATCTCTGTTGAACACGGTGAGCAATACAGTGAGAAAGGAATCAACGCTTCTTCCTGACTCTGGACCTCATAATGCCAGAGCCCACGGAAAAGAATAAAGCTCTGAGTGTGTTAATATCTGCCATTTGTGTGGTAACATGACCCTAAGGTGCCCTAGGAATGGAGCCCAGCACTGCAAATTCACTCAAAGAGCCTCTTCACCTCTTCCTGATCAGATCATGAGAAGGAAACAACTGCCAGATCCGCGAAGAGAGGAAAAACAGTATCTCTTCATGTGGCATTATATGTATTCATATAAATTTAATAAATATAGATATATATTGCTACTCTTAACTTTATTTTTAGAACTCTCTAATTAGGCCAGTTTAAGAGTCACCTCCTGTCCCCTCCTGCCCCATAATTATGTAAACACCTCCCCAGTACAAATCCAGGCTCAGATGAATTTATTACATTGCAGAAGAAAAGCTTGTTGTTCATAATAATGTGGTCAGAGTTATTTTCTCTCTTACTGGATGGGAAAGACTTCTCTACTTTTTTTTCCCCCCCCTGCTATAAATATAGCACAAACTAAACAGAGCCACTCTGTAATGTAAAAATACTGCAAGCTTTTTATCAGGAAGGACAGCTCGTCACCTTGTCTCTCTCGGGACTGGAAATAGAATGTTCCAAAAGTGAGAGCTTTGAAAATCCAGTGTGCTAAAGAGGAAAGGAAGGGGAATGGGCTGCCTTGGTTTGTCAAGGAACAAATATTTTCTTTTACAGAGGACAAATAATGACTTGACATGTAATATTCACAACGGAGCAGTCCAATCACTGCATTCCCACTGACTCACGTGCAAGGAGGTACCACCCGTCTTGAAAATAGCAAAAGCATCCCCATTTCTTGCACATCAGTCTGAAAGCCTTTGCTGGACACACAAAATTGTGACTGATCCAGGGCACTGGGGACCAAAGCTGCCAAGACCTGGGGCTGAGAGAATCTCTTCATTAGGAAGTTAGTAGGGATTACAAGGTTGAATGCATTAAAGGCAGCGTAATGTCTGGAGAACTTCAGAGTGAGGATGATAAGCAAATAGAGACTCTGTTGTGTCTTTATTATTTTGAGGTAGGTCAAAGTTAGGCCTAAACTGAATGCGTGTTGGTTGGATCGAGTATTTTCTGGGAAGGGGAGTATGATTTGGCGTAGAGGGAAGGAGAGACTCAGGAAACCCTCGGTGCAGAGCCATTCCTGAAGACTCGCTGTCCCAAAATGGTAAAGTCACTACAGAAAGGCTAACCACAGGTAAAGATGGATGAAAAATCACAAGCTTTGTGCGGCCCTGCCAGTTCCTCTGGAGCAAACCACTCAAACTGTGCATTTTCACAAGCTTACCAAGACTCAGTTAAACACCATGTTGCCAAGCGCAGCCCTGGCTCAACCTTGGACACTTACCTTCCAGCTGAACCTGCCTCTAACCCCAGTATGGACACAGAAACTGTTTCTGCAAGCCATCTCCAAAGTGGTGTGGGTTTAACCTGTAAGGCAGAGCTAACTCTGGATGACACTCAGAGAGGCAAGACTAGGGCAGCCCTAGCAGACTGCTATAATTATGCCACTTTGGCTGACTGACTATTTTTTCATGTGGCTACGTAACTAATGAAAGCAAAAGAGGACTGTGAGGCAATACCTTGCAGTGCTTAGGCTAAAGATGAGAGAGGAGTGCCGTAGCCCTGGGATCCTGGTGTCCAGGAACATCTGGAATATACATGAGGCGGCAGATTCAGGAACTATGAGACAGAGAAAGCAGTAATTTCTACCCAATTCCCTCACTGCCAGAACCGGTGCTCACACAAATCTCAGGGGTGGCTCAGACTGCCCGTGAAATATCCACGGTGGGTTTTTAAGAATGCCAGGACGCACTCTCCAAAATCCTGTCTTGCAGGAG